AAGGATGTAGTCCCCTGAGAAAATGATTGACCCCAATATTAAATACAAATTATACTAGAAACTCAATAAAATTTTCAAAATCCCATACTTAAAGAAAATCTTTTCTGCTGGAGCACTAATAGGTATGATATGTTTTATAGCAAGGAAATGCAAATACTGTGCTAAGAACAGTTACAGAAGTGACGGTCTTAGGGAGACAGCAACATGAGAACAGGGTATCACAATAAATATTAGAAAAAACAATGGCAGTTACAACCATGCTGGATTGGGCATCAAAAGGCTGCTAGGCCTGTCATTGACCTGACCTGTGACCATGGGCTCTTCTGGGTATTTATTTTCGCATGAAAAAGAAGGGATTGAGCTAAATCATCATTTCCTAAACTGGAGTACACATGAAACTCCCTGGTAAGAGGAGGAGGGTGCCTCCTCCCAGAAGTCTGACTTACTAGTGTGACCTAGAAATCTGTATTTTAAACAACCATTCTAAGGGATTTTACAATAGTAGCATTATGCCCCAGAAGAGCAACTATGGAATTGTATAACCATTAATGTCTCTTTTAGTTCATTCTTTTATGATTTTAAAGACTACATGAACTCAACGTGTAACAAGGCAGCAGGCCAGCCTGAAGGGTGGAGAGCTGGAGATAAAAGGGAAACCGTTCCTATCCCAGAATGGCAGAACAAGCAACAAAGAGCTGTGTGCCTTCAACTACAACAATTTATTGTCACACAGTTCTGAAATTGTGATATTGAGGTCTTAGTTGGTGCATGCTTTGTCTGACAAGTGTTGGAGAGAGCTCTCTCTTGCTCTTGTAAGTTCTGGTGCTTACAGGAAGCTCTCAACACCCCTAGCCATGGCATCGTAGCGGCACCTCTCTCTCACATGGTCATCTTCTTCCTTGTCTGTGTTCCTTTCTGTGAGGCAAAAGTAGATTGGATTAAAGCCCACCCTAACACTACATATCAGCTTGATGATTTTGTAAAGCCTGTTTTGCCAAATATGATCACATTCTGAGGTACTGGTGGCTAAGTCTTAAACATATTTTTGAGAGGAACAGAATTCCTCTGAAATTAGTGAGTTTTCACAAGTGACTTAGACTTTAAAGAATAAATGCTGTTTGCTTACATACGCAGAAGAAAACAGCTTTGTAGGTGACAAAAAAAAAATCAACCTGCAAAGAATGGAATCATCATGTTTGTCCAAGATGAAAAATAGTGCAGCTTGCGATGGTGTCAGTGGTTGTGAAAATGATGATTATGGTGATTAACATCCACTGAACATTTATCCTGTAACACCTATGTCCTAGTACATTCCATGTATTATTGTACTTCCAAGCAAAACATGAAGTATGCAACATTATTCAGAGTTGTACAGGTTAAGAGATGGGGTGCGGGGGGAGTTATGTAACTTGTCTCATTAAGAAACTAAGAGGCAAAGAATTGTGTGATCCCGAATTTTTGCTCTCTACAATGATGATCTGTTGCCTTCCTCACAGTACCAAGGCAATATGAGCTTGGGTGAAGAAATTGGTGATCCTTTGCCGAGGACTTTAACAATAAGGCAGTGGGAAGTTATAGAAAATAGGGAGGCACTTTCAGTGTCTGAAGAAGTGTGACATGAGGAAGGTGATATTTTAAGAAGATGAATGTCCTTTCTACCCAAGGATGCATTTTCTTTAGAAGAGGAGAAATCAGAGTTATAAATAAAAAGCTATTGACCATGAAGAGTTCCCTTTCATTGGGCTCTATCAGGTGGTCTGCCTCTTTCCCACTGACGAATCCTAAGAATCCGTTAGCACTTAAAAAGTGTACTCCATTGAACTGTTCTTTTTCCCCCTCTGACATCCTTTTTAAGTTCTTCATGAGTGATAAAGCATTGATCAATTCATATCCAGAGTACAAATGCTGTGAGATGAAGACTTTTCTTGATTCTTCAATTTTAAAAATCCACATTTCCATCTTAGTGGGTTTTGCTTGTTTTAAGCAGCACCTATAGGAGCCTCATCCCTGGTCTTTCAAAGTTTAGCTTTCTGTGTGTACAGTGATCCTATTTCTTACTAGTTTTGCCATATAGAGAAAAATGTATACCAAAGGAAAGGTGAAAATAATGACAAAGCTGAAATGTATAAAGCACTTTGATATATACAAATAGCTTTTCATATGTCTCCCAATTTAATCAGAAAGTGTAGGTGTAATAACTGGTGAGCAATGGCAGTATTGTGCTTTCTCCATAATTTTACACTTGGTCTGGGGAACATAATGTCTCACTGGTCTTTCCAGAATGACTTGACTGCATATTCCCCCTCTTGATAATAGAGAGCTGGATAAGTAGAGAGTTTATGCCTCTCCCAAGTCTTAAGCCATCCAATTTCCTTCCTTACAGAATATCATCTAGTAGGAGTAAAGGAAATTATGCATCTATTCATGCACTTATTTCCCTGCCAACACATGACGAGTTTTTGATTTTGATTACTCTAACATTTGTATACCTGAATTTTGGTCTATGATTGTAATCCTCCAAAAACGTTTCTTCTTCCTTTGGATTCTACAGAACAAGCTCATCAAACATTAGTCTCTGTAAATCTCAGTGTGGTCACACAAGAGCACATTTGGATGGTAGAATTAAAAACAGTGCAGAGCCTTGAGTTGGAGAGAAGAGGGGGAGACAAGGAGGACTCTGTGTCGTTTTGCTTCTCTGATTTGGTGGTATACTACATAGGCTCCTGGAGACCTGAGGTCCATCATCACTGCCACAGCACTGGAGCACAATCCGGAACAGCGATCCAGAGCTAATTTATTTCCTAATGTTGCAGCACTGTTAATTTATAAATTACACTGGTTATTCGAGCAATTATTAATTTCAGATGGTGTAGGGCAAGCCTAATTAAAATATGACACCAATTGCCACACATATGTACCAAGGACTACCATTTAAAATTAATGGGAATATTAAGTGTGACACTGGTCTCTGAGATGTGTGGCACAGTAATTATAGCATTCCAGCACAGAAAGATCTGACAAATATAGGCCTGTGGTTGGTAGCAAATAAACAATGACAATGCAAGAGAAACCACAAATTCTTTATTTACAACTCTTCTTATTGCCTCCATCATTCCTTAAATCAGGGTTATTTTTTTCTCTCTCCATGAAGCCAAGTATGGAACAATAATAATAAAAGCTACTAAGACAATTAAAAGGTCCTTACAGGTTGGAACTGAGACTGTGTTTCTTCATATTGATGATCTTCTCCATATGCTGGGGTTTTTAAGACCTTGTTTTCTAGTTATGAACTTTCTCCTATGGGCATTTCTCCTACTGTTTTGTTGTTGTTGTTGTTGTTGTTGTTGTTGTTGTTGTTGCTTTTACAAATGTAGTGTCTCTTTCTTTATTGTTATACTAATTACATGCTGTTCTCTTCTCCTCTTCAGTAGACGGTTTTCACAGGTGTCCAGTGTAGGTCCCATATGATGTGAGGAAATTCATGGGTTAAGGTTAATATTGGTTGGTGGCACAAACTTATCATGACCAAGGACTGACAGCAGGGTTGGACAAATAGTGGACCTTCTTGACAAGAGTCTCATTTTATTGATGTTGCTAGTGCTATTGTTGCTGTTTTCGAAAATGATGATCTTAGCACTGTTGTAGAATAAATACAATCATAACACACCACTTGTATCATTTATTGTGTTATACTATTTTATAGTCATCAGGCTCATGCTCTGGCACAGCTATTCATGTGGAAATATGAAAGGGTTTTAAGATCTGGGGAGAAATGTCTCTCTGATCCCTTTCTTGGATTATTCATGTGAATGTAGCTTCAGTCCATATGAATCTAGGCCTCTGGGGAGAATATAGGATTAATAATTACATCAACAAGCATGCAGCACATCAGAATTTTTACAGTCCTTTTTTATGTGTGTGCACATGAGTACACACAAACTGATACATAATTTGTAGCTTGAAATAAATGTGATGTATTAGCATTGCAATACACATTAAACCTAAGAAAATATTTCTCTGCTATTAGAGACAGTCTTAAATCAAGCTTGTTGTCAAATAATAACCAGCAATACTCTCTTTTTACTTTCAAAAGTATATTTTGTTTAAGATGCTGTCATTCTAATTATCTTCATTTAACAAAAGGAAGATAGTCTAAGAACATATGCATCACCTCTTCTGTTAATCATTTTCTTTGATCAAGAGCTAAGTATCAGGCTGGCTCTGAATAGGACATTGACATCTGCCTTCCAGACTTCAATGTCTTGTTCTTTCCAGAACCGAATGCTCATGGTTAGATGTGAGATGTGTGATCTATTCAGTAGAGTATCTTCTTAGTGATCATAATTTTTTCACTTGAGAAATTGAGTTGGGATGATTGAGTGACAGTAAGATTTGCAGCCAGATCTTCTCACTCTTTACTTCTGTGTTTCATTTTGGGCATTAGTCATGTTGTCCCATTGTTGACTTGGATCTTGTGACTAAGAGATCTAGCAGATTGAAATTTGGAAAACTGATTTCTGCCTATCCAATTAATCTCAAAATAGTTACATCAATTTCACTGCCTTTGGAGGGGGGGACTACTACTTTGGCATGTTTAATTGATTCATGCCCAGTGAGGCAGCAGAAGCTCTACATTTCAAGGCTCCACCCAGATGAAATCTTGAGAGCATTAAGAATTAAAGTGTCTAACTCATATCCTAGAGCAGGGTGGCCTGCTAAGATCCAGGCAGTATTAACTGTCAAAATTACTGATCACTTTTGTTACTTCTCTCTGCACTGCACTTAGTTCAGCTGGGAGCACAAATGTTTCAGCTGATCCACTAGGAAAAGCTGGTGGACAGATGTGTAGGAGGAGGGAGAGTCCCGCAGTTGCTAAGAACCTGAGCTTACAAGTGACACAATTTCCTGCAGCTGTGACCATTTTTTACTTGGCTTTCCAAATTTATACCTTCATCCTTTCTTCCTTCCTATCTCACAACTCTCTACTTCTTCTCCTGCAGCTGTTGGCTTTGTGAGTGAAGATGAGTACTTGGAAATCCAGGGCATCACCCGGGAGCAGTCAGGGGACTATGAGTGCAGTGCCTCCAATGACGTGGCTGCACCCGTGGTGCGGAGAGTGAAGGTCACCGTGAATTGTAAGTGGTCTCACCAACCCCTGCCCTTCACATTCAGGAGGCTGCCTGCTGCTGTGGCCACAAGAGCCAGCTGTGAACTCAGGATGTGGGGCAATGCAGCAGCCTCTTCCATGTTCTGCTCTCAGGAACAATGAGTCAAAAGTCTAGTGTATGACACCTCAAGATTTTGTAGCATCACATTGATTTAAAAAGTAGGCTGAAAATAATTTACTATAATCCCAAGCTTGACATACATGGCTGGAAGATGATCAAATAATGTTCCTGCATATTTTATATAAATGCATTGTCAAATCCAGAGTTTTCCCTTAATTTACTCACATGATGAAGTGGCAGCCTCCTGTCCCCCACTCCAGATGTCTCCATGCTGAGACCAGCATCATGTGCTAGAACGCACAAAAAAAATATTAGTCAGCCCATAAAGGCTATGGTATGCCAGCCTTGCATAATTATAAATACTGATTGCTATACATGGAATTCATACAGAGTTTAAATACAAACACATACACATACAGATATTAGAGTGTATATCTCAAAATTTTTCTCATATAATAGAGGTACAGAATCCAACACTGGGAGGCTGCTGGCGTAGAGCTCTCATTCCCCCTTTTCAGCCTTCTACTTTCTCATTTACTTTGATTCGAGGCAGAGTTCTAACTTGTCTTTCACTCTTTATCCTCTGGGTTCCTTGCGAGGTTCATCATCTTAGTTGCCTGTGGCTTCCTAAGGCTTTCTCTGCTGCGCACATGGCAGAAAGTTTTACAACAGACTGGAACTATGCTAGCAGAAAGAAGCCTCTCCTCTTCAACACTTGAGTGGGGTGGAAGTAGGGAGGGATATCATGCAAAGGAGAATCCCCATGGTTTAATATTTCAGCTTCTGTTCCTATTTGAACATAAGTTACATGAAACACGAAGAAATAAGGAAATAGGAGTAACAGTGCTGACTTTTAAAAGTGCTAATATAATTTTCAACCCTATTTTTAAAGGGACTTAGGATAGTTCACAATTTATAATGATGAACTTGAAAAGTTTAGAAAGAAAAGATATTCTAAGGGAAATGAGTAAAAGCTAGGAAAAGATAAGCATATTGATATACTATGCGGTTGCTATGTTGAGATCCAGAATTTGGCTTTACTTTGCTAAAGAAAAGAGGAAAAACCATCTGCTACAGATTTGTGTTGTCTATAAGATAAAAATGAGTTGTTTACTTGGGATAAACAGATTTTTCTGGTGCTGAGACCCTAACGAAAAATTCTCTTTGGGGTCTTCACAAATTGAGCACTTTGAGAAACAGTCAAGAACATCATGTACAATATTCCTGAAACAAATTCAACATTGAGTTTATTGTGGCTGTTTTTTGTTTTGTTTTGTTTTGTTTTGATGCCTCATAAACGAACTATTGGAGTTGCATAGGTAGTTTGGAAAACTTTAAAAGCATCCAGACCAAATAGGTAAGTCTAGTTTGGTTTGGCTGGATTCAGGGATCCATTTTAGAGTACCTAAAAGAATGACTGATATGTATATCCTTCAGGCAATTCTCCATGAATATTACTTCTTGTAACCGAGCTTTTGATGGAAATTGACTAGGCAAGGTTATATACTTTGGCAAGAACTTGGCGTGCAGAAATTCTATAAGGCTGATTAAAGGTGCTAACTGTCAACCCCTGGAGTGTAAGGTTGAACAGGTGGCATCATTTTATGAAAGTTAAAAAGTTGAAACAGAAAATATGCCCAAATAGCTGGTCATTTATTCTACTTCTATGGCCTGGAGAAGAGAAAAGATGCATGCTAGGAAGACCATGCTTTTCTTTAGAATTGCACTCAAAGTGTTTTCATTCTCTGGCATAATTTGTGTAGCAATTTGACAAGGCAAGTTAGCAGAAGTAGGGCAAAGAGCAGAGAAACAAAACCCTTGAATGAGGCAGCCTTTTTTTGTGTTAAAATGCATTTTCAATGCTGTGGGATATTTCTCTGCAGATCCACCCTACATTTCAGAAGCTAAGGGCACAGGTGTCCCTGTGGGACAGAAGGGGACACTACAGTGTGAAGCTTCAGCAGTTCCCTCTGCAGAATTCCAGTGGTACAAGGATGACAAACGGTAAGGTCCCCTCCCCTCTTCTCCTCAACCCTACTCCAGAAGGAGAAATCTTCCAGTTTCCTGATTCCAGATGTTTGCAAATCAATCTGTATAATCTTCTTTTGAAGTCACCAAATCTATGCAGAGGAAGTAATGTGCAAACATAGGCTTTTCCTAAATTAATAAAATTCAGTGAGGTTTTCAATGTTGCTATGCAGAATTATCACTTGCCAACTACCAGGCCTAAAACATTTTTTTAGGAAGGCAAAAATAACAAAAGAAAGGCCACCAAGAGCATTTAAAGGCCTGTAAATATTTTATAGGCCAGGAAAATAACAAGTTCTGCCTGAAGCTATTTTTAACACACTCAGGGTTGGCATTAAGGTGTTCACACTCTGGGCTCTTGGAATGATTCATGAGTCAACTGCAGCTCCCAAGTCTCCACTTCTGTTGAGGACTTTATCAGCCCAGCAGTATGAAAGTCTGTCATCTGGCTTAACCTGCCCTTTGCGCTCAGGCTGCTCTTCCTCTGTAGTGCAAAACAGTGGGATTGTTCCCTTCCTTCCTATTGTTGCGGACATCTTGGGAGTATTTGCTATGATTCACTGAAACATGGTCATTTCCTGGGGTTATCAAGTGGCAAGTCAGCACAGCACCCAGACCAGAAGCTCAGGACAGTAAGACAACTTGGCAATTACCTTTATCAAAAGGCCATTTTAAGGTGGATGAACAACAAATAAATGTGCATATGCTGCATTCAGAATATTTCCATTAAAATAGAGGTGGATGCTTTGGAGATACAACAAAGCCTTGTGATTAGATGTGGGTAGAAGAGGAGAAAGGAGAGATGAAAAACCAAGAAGCTGAGGAGAGAAGACAATGAAGAGGACAATCAGAGAAGAGCAATGTGAGAAATCCCATCCCAGAGTTCACAAAGTGTTCCCCATGCTTCATGGATTGTGTTCAATACATCCTGGTTTCTTTATATGGTCAGACATCAAATGCTGAATCTGTGAATGGTGTCGTTTAGTCCTAAGATTCACTCTCTTATTATGGTAAGAAGCAGCAGTTGTTGTTTTTTTTTTTAACTTTTCAGGACATGTTCTGGCAGCTTCTAGGAAAGTGTGTTGCATTCTTCTAGCCCACTTGATTGATGAAAGACCTGAGGCAGAAAGGAGAAAACAAACTCACAAAGAAGTAAGAAGAAATTCATCTAGCTTTTGTCCTCCTTTGAAGAATTCAGAATTCTTCCTCCTTCCCTGCTGCCCTTATTGTAGTAAGAAGAAAACAGAGTCATAAAGGTTCCGTAAGAGACGGAAACAAACAAACAAAAATAACAAGTTTTGGGGTTCATTCCTGAACTTTCAATTATTTAGATCTTAGTGAAAATTAATAATTGGCAGCATCCTATTACTCCATTTCTTTATGGGAGAAAAATACAAACAAATTTTACAGGAAAATCAAGGTTTCAAAGTATGTGGGGGAAAATGGAGTAAAAATGGACAATGTTAAAACAAAGGATAAGAAAGCTCTGCTTCTTGGCTAGAAGTTGTGGTCCTAGGAGAGGCTGCTGTCAGTACCACCTGGGAGGAGTACAGAGACAGCACAGCCAGTGACGGTTGAGAGAGCTTTGCTTCCCTCCTGAGCTCTGATTGCTTCTCCTTTGCTCCCTTCCACTGATGTTGCTCCATTTTCTATTGGCTGCTCATCTATTAATTCCTTTCCAATGCTCTCCAGTGAATGGAGTCACTATTCCTCCTTCTAGGCAGCTTGATAAGAACATCTTGGGCTCTATGGTCTTTATCACAACCAGTTGAATCTGTCCCACTGGGGCTACCAGGCAGCCTCCTCCAGGAAGGTCCCAGAGGTTATACCTCACCTGCCCTGGGAAGCACAGCTCCAACCTATCACCTCCTGGAGATAAGCAGACTTTGAAGCAAATGGAAGCATTTCTGTGGCAGAGACAAGCCATGTTCTCAAGGTCTTTGACTTCATTCTAGTACCACTCTGCTGCTATTGGATATGTTACCCACCAAAAAGAGAAGAAATGGAATTCTATGTGCCCCTATCCCACTAGCAGGAACATTAGGCACCGAAAAGTCTATAGCTTCATGAAGAAATGAGGCCTGATCATAGTACAGAATAGTGAGGTAAATGCATGGAGAAGCAAGTGTGTCCTCCCAGAGTTGCAAGCTGCTGCAAGGTGCTGCTGTCCTATACTATGTGTAGCTAAAGATGTTTCAGAGCTGTCAGGAAGGAATCGGCTCTGGATAAGTCTCTTCCCACTACAGAGCTGACATGTAATTAATAGTTGGGTTCAGATGTGAAGGCTTTCCATCCTCTCCATCCCAGAAATACACCTCAAACATCAAATGGCATCCATTGGGTTGACAGCCCACAGAAGTCTCCAGCTGGTGGCAGACTAAGCTGTCTTTGGACAGAAACCCCTAGAGGATCAGTGTCAACATAATAAGCTGAAAATGCAAAAGTGGCCTCTGGCCCCACAAGAAGATACAGCACTTCACTTCAATGTGGAAAACAGGCCTTTCCTCTCAAAACTCATCTTTTACAATGTTTCTGAACACACCTAAGGAAACTACACTTGTGTGGCCTCCAACAAATTGGGCCACACCAATGCCAGCATCATGCTATTTGGTGAGACTGTGCCCTGAGTGGGCCACTGAGAGTCTGAAGTATGGAGGGGTGGCTGGAGGAGTGGAGCTGGGAAGGAGGGTCTAGAGTTAGGCAGGGAGAATGAAAGACTGGGGGGATATGCAAATGTGAAAGTAAATCTCAGGAGTAGGGGAAAAATGAAAAATAGCATCCATTTCATTCTACAATGAGGAAAATCCTAAAACAGAAGCAATGATTTTATGAAGTCCAGGGACTCAGGCCTGGTCACTCTCTTTATCTTGAGAGAGGAAGGCTTGCAGAGGAAAACTAAATAAAATTAAAAGTAAAAGCAAGACAAGCCCCTCTAACAAACCTCCTGGCTTCCCCAGTGACAGATATTTGGTGAGAATTTACACCAGAACTCATCCAGGTTACCATGAGTGTAGGGGATTGACAGAGCCATGCTGCAGTCTCACAGAGGTGAAGCCTTCTGATAATGACAAAGCAGCTGCCTCTATGCCAAAAAATATACTATGACCCGAGGACACACAGGAATGATCTTGTCTAACTCCAGAGAAACACATTACACTGAATAACATTTTACATTAACGAAACATTTTCTCATCATTGTCTTGGTGATTTCCATCTCTGCCTTGAAGACTGGTTTTCTGGGTTTGATGATTCCGGCACCAGCCACTGTCCCTGATGTGTGTCTCCCGAGCTTGTTTCAGTGTGTGTGCACCCTGACATTGTTGACTTGCTGCCTGTCTTGCCTCAAGCCAGGCCCTAAACAGAGATTTTGAGCCCTGTAATGTTTCTCTTTCCTATCCCATAGGATCTGTTTCTAGACAAGGAATGCACATTATTTCAAGGAAAGTAAAAGGTTGGCATAAGGCCCATTGTCATAGGATATTTTATTGTTTTCAAAAGGTATAGAATTGGTCTCAAATTCCTATGTAGATCCACAACTGCAATAGGAATTGCTGCCAAGACCTCTTGAAAAGGAAAAAAGCAGCTTCCCCCTCCTTACCATCCACACCGTTACCAGCTGCTTTCCCCTTATTCTATTTGCCCATAGTGGAATCCATGATTCCATACATAATTCAAATTCCCTTCCCATATTAACCATCTGTGCCATTTCTTTGGTGGCCTCTATAATCAATAGGCGCCTAATAACATAGTGGTCTGCTCTAGGGCAATGCCGGATCTACAGGGTTATATTCTTGGGACTCTCTAATTCCTCTCAGACTGATCCCCTATAATATTCTTGGGATTTACTCTTCCCAAGCCCTTCAGAGTCCCCTGATGTGAAAATGATCACTGATTATTTTCTCCTCTCCACAGCCTAAAAAATTATATCTTATCTGTAGCATGCCTCAAGTGCATAGGGAGAAATTTTATTATCCAGGTGCTAGAAAAGTGAGGTTTTCAAACCCCTTAAGTCAGTCTTCTCTTGGAAGCTTGAGTTTTTCACTGTGAAGTTTATCGGCATCATCATCATGATCATCATCGCCATCACCATCTTCATTACCACCTTCAGCGGCATCATATAAATCCTCACATTTGAGCAGTATTATTGCATGCATAACACTGCTATGAATGTCACAGCGCTGGAGCAGTATATTTGTTGTGGTTTGACTGGCAGGTTTACAAAGCAAGGATGAAAGAAAGCACAGGTCTTCTGAGAACTTAAATATGGGGACAGGCAGGTGAGACATGCTGCCTAGAGCATATCTAGACACATACATTAAAATGGAAAAATAAAGCTTCACATGTCATCGTGTGTGAACATGCAGTGTTACTGAGTGGAATGAACAGTGGTCATGGTGATGTCAGGTGGGGGCAGAAGGAAATGGGAAGATCATTACTTCCAGAGCCTATTTCTGTCCTGCAAGAGAAACTGACCATCTCTTCCCTTTTCTCCTTTTGTTTTTGTCTCTTGTCTTAGACTGATTGAAGGAAAGAAGGGAGTCAAAGTGGAAAACAGGCCTTTCCTCTCAAAACTCATCTTTTTCAATGTTTCTGAACACGACTATGGAAACTACACTTGTGTGGCCTCCAACAAATTGGGCCACACCAATGCCAGCATCACGCTATTTGGTGAGACTGTGCCCTGAGTGGGCCACTGAGAGTCTGAAGTATGGAGGGGTCGCTGGAGGAGTGGAGCTGGGAAGGAGGGTCTAGAGTTAGGCAGGGAGAATGAAAGACTGGGGGGATATGCAAATGTGAAAGTAAATCTCAGGAGTAGGGGGAAAATGAAAAATAGCATCCATTTCATTCTACAATGAGGAAATTCCTGAAAGGGAAGAAAACTTTGGGATGCCAAAATTCCATTTTTCTCCCCTTGGTAATGCCTCCTGAAATGACTTGAGAATAACTGGGTAAACTTAAAGTACCTAGAGAGGAGTAAGTACTGCTTCAGTACTTTACTCCCTGGATTAATACGTGTTCGCTTTTCTGAAACTTTCCCCATCCATTGGGATGTGAGAAAAACTGAATTATATTTTTTAAAAAAACAGAATCAAAGACTGGTGGATCCTTAATATTAGCTACAGAGGGAGAAGTGAGACAGAAAATGAGGATTTTCCACGTTCCCCATTTGGTCAATGGATGTTGTATGGCTGAATTAAAACATGTGTCCATCCAAACCATCATCTTAAAATATGTCACATAGTCATCCATACATGAACTCTTTAAACATTAGTCAAGTGACTCCTCATATAATGCATAGTGCTCTGCCTTCATTCCATGTCTGGCAGTTGTGTTGGTGCCAGAAGCAGGTATCCAAGCTCCGTGGTAGGCCTGCAGAAGCCCAGCCCTTTGTTAAAAGATGTCTATGCATGGTAGGTCTTCATCCCTGGATGTGACCCCAGGGACCTGGTGGGGGCTTTCATTCTTGATGGCTACAGATCCTCCCTACAGAACACATGATTAATTCTGGTTGCCTCCTGCACAAACCCCTCAGTAAGTCTGGGATCTTTGCAAGTCAATTATCCATAACCTCATGTTAAGAAACTCCCTTTGATTTGATGAGAAGGGAAATCAAAGGAATTTAACAGATAATTGGCAAATGTGACTGTTTGTATTCTGAGGAAGTCTGGATAATCTCATAGCCTCAAGGGCCCCACTGTCTACCCTGGCCCTGCATGTGCCCTTGATGGCAGTGTAGGCTGCCTCCTGATATCTCTGTTTCCAAATCATATCCATCTGGTGTCCTTCCCCGCACATGAACTCCAGCTCAGAATTATCTGGGTGGACCTAGAAGGGGAAGGCTGCCCTTGATCTCAGAACCTGCAGCTCAGGATGGGGAGAACTGTGATTAGAGTGATTGATCTACCTGGCATCTCTGTGACAATGATGCGCACAAGTGCCCTTCACATTTGGCAGACCTTTTGGGGGTATTTTGGCAGTTGTCTCTGAACACATAGAGATCCCAGCTTGGAAAGGAATGGTTCCCCCTTTCTTTTCTTGCAATTCTGTAGCTTTCCCCCAGTCTCCCTTCAGCCCATTTCCAGTACTGCTCTGCACCCAGGCAGTCCTCATTCTTGGAATAGTCTTCCTTCTACTTTGACCTCTTTTTCTGATTTGACCCTCCTTTTCTGATTTGGATGAATTACAATGGTTTTGCCACTGACTTTATGACTTCTGTCTAATTCCCAGCTTTTTCCTTTAAGCCAACTCAAGGTGAAATACCGGCAAACTTTTGTAAAGAGTGAAATACCTGTCATTTATGACATGAAAAGCAATGAAGCGTATGTCATAAAAATGTTCTTTCAGGAGACCCACATGTGGCCTTTACAACATCTGCTTTCCCCTCTGGTCCCACCATTGATATGAGAGCATTCACTCTGTGTGTCCTTTGGGACTTTCCTGAAAACTTGTCACTTTTCTGGAGTCTGGGGTTCTCTACAAAGGCACATTGAAAAGTGATAGCACCTATTCAATTAACTTTAGGAGTGGGTCAAGGAAAGCGGAATGTAGTACTGTGAGATGTTATTTAATGTAGGCGGTCTCAGAGCTGTGACGTAAAGTATCTCTAAGAAGGAGATTAAATTTGCAACATCTCCCCACTGAGTTAATAAGAAGCCAGTTCCATTTTCTAGTCTCAGCTGAGAGATAGTTCCTAAGGAGCCAGTCACAGGACTACTGCCTGGGTACCATCATTCCATGGAGCTAGTGAAACCGCACTAATCTTTGAAAGGAGTGTTTTTAACTCATTAGCTCTACGTAAGTCTAGCCCAGACATTACTGTGGCTCCTAGGCTCATTATTGTGGCTCACCATCAGTGAAAGCCTTGGACAAATATAAATTTATTAGGGAATTCTCCACGTTGCTTTCCATTAAGAGTCATCAAGTAGATGTGAGCAGAATACAAAGTGGGTTTACTTTATTTGATTATACAACATTTGTAGTGAATTTCATTTTTCAACATCATTACAGAAAGCCAACTACATTACCATCATTTTGTCACCAACTTGTACATAAACTGTGCACTCCTAAATGCCTATCATGAGAAGTATCTTTGAGAGGATGCTTAAGCCAAAAGGGGCAGGGTGGTCCTTCCCATTGTGAACCACCTGGAATTACATAGCTTTCAGTGCACTTGGGACTTCTGGCCTCACATTCTTGAGTCACAGTGGTTCCAGGGGAACCTTACTCCAATCATGATCCCATGGGGTCATACATAAATTTCTCAACTTGGTCTCCCAAGTTGATACAATGCAGGTGAGTGCAGGGGTAAGGCTACGGTTGCAACAGCTCAGGATAAGCTAAGCATGAACCCATGTGCACTGGAAAATAAGTAGAGTGGCCAGCTCCCTCCCATCCCAGCCATCCCAGCCATCCCAGCCAAGTGTGGAAACACTGAGTATTTTGGTATTTGTCTTGCTGCACCTTGTCATGCCACCTTTGGTTTTTGTGTCTTCTTTTATTTGTCCATTCTTCCAGAAATGCTTGTGAAAGGCAGTATACAAACTATATATGAAAAATATATAGCAACTGTATATAATATGTGTTTATTTTCATTTTTCTCTCCTGTATGTTTCTCACCTGACTTAGAACTAAATGAGCCTACAAGCTCAACTTTGTTGCAAGGTCAGTATCCCCTCACTTTATGTTTTTTTCTCCCCCCCCTCAATTCCAGAACCCCTTTCCCTCCCTGTACCGTGCTGTGCATTACCTGATAGTCCTGTCAGTCAAGTGGCTTAGAAGATGGTGGTGGAATGCTACTTAAGGAGGTTCTTGGGATTATGTGAAATGTCCAAAGATTGTTCTCTTTTTCTCTGCTCATCCCTTGCCAATACTATCCTAGGAGGGCAGGCAGGGGAGAGGACAATAAAGCATCACAAAAGTCTCAAAACCCGGAGATCAACGAGATCAACATGAAGGCAAATATGGAGGGAGTAAATCTGAACTCATAGGAAGACACCCCCAACCGAGTGGTTCTCACACCAGGAGACCGGCTGATTGTCCCTCAGCAGCAGAATCAAACACAAGTACATCAGGACTTGGAAATTCCATTCCTGAATCCACCCACTCCCAAGCTCTCTAGAGGAGGATGGCAGGCATGGTGCCCAGTGATAGGTCCCAGCAAGTGGTGATCCAGAATGGGCACCACTGACTTCTAGTTAAGAGCCTGGCTTGAAGAGCTCTCTGTTCTTGAGAAATTCACTAAGCCTTATTTGGATTCAGTTTCCTCCTCTATAAAGTGTAATAGATATATTTTATCCCATTTACAGAGTTGTTTCAACATTCAACTACAAATGCATATTACAAGGCTTTGACAACAGGTGCATTTGGAATCTCCAGATACAAGCTGAAAGACCAGGCCCCTGTAGAGCACACTACAGATCCATCACCTGGTCCCCCAGCCCCTTGACATCCTCTTCCACCAGAAGCCCTTGCCCACTCATGATTCCTGTATTATTTGCCACTTTGCACATCCCTTTCAGTTTTCTCAAGGTTCTCTGTGACCATGACTAAACACTACACTGAGCAGTGGAATAAAACTTCTTCCTTGTGCTGCTGTTCTCCTCTTAGGGTGAGTATGGACCCCAACAGGAGTTCAGCAAAGGCAGCTGTAAGGGAAGTGACTCTCCCTGACTCCCAGCTGAATCTTCTGGCCTTCCTCTTCCTACCTTACTCCACACCCGTCCTGTTTATCCGTTCACATTCTGTTTGTGCCAATAATCATGGGAGGATGGCAGTTGGCCTGGGAGGTGGGAGGAAGAGAGAGAAAGAAATGAATTATTTGGGGAGCTGTTTGACAGAGAGGAAAAATAGTTTTATCATAAAACGTGTCAGGGCTGTATAATTCACCTTAGTGATATATAGTACCATGGTGATGAACTACAAATAGGAAAAGGAAATAGAAATAAGAAGGAAAAGGGAAGTCAATGGACATGTTCAGATCAGCTTGTGATTCAGCTTATGTGTACTGAACTCCTGCAGGAGGCATATTCACACATCTAAAATAGCATCAGAAAAGGAGCTTACATAAATGGTACAAGGGAAGTGAGGGTCTGCAGGTAGGCAGCTGATGCTATGTGTGTGCTTCCAGAAGTTCTTAAGCTGATTCTGACCAGAATTTAATTCTCAGAGGAAATAGGAGCTTTGGCAACTCAGGCCATGGTGTCTAACAAGCTGACACTTCAATAAAGTTGTACACGGCTGAGAGAACAGCATTATCCCAATCCAACACCATCGGCAACAAAAGCAAACACATCCCTGTACCTGGTGACCAAGCATGAGACTAGGACCTGGAGATAATGTTCTCAGGCTCCATGTGCTGAGACAAGCCTGGCCTGCCTCACCTCTCTATCTTGTGAACTGACCAATTTGAGGGAGCCTATCTCTATGCCAACTATCTACTGTTATTCCCTGAGGTGTTCAACCCCTCACCCCAGCAAACTTCTTGGGTGTGGGAGATGGGTCAGGCAGAAGGTGTAAATTGTGGGAATCAGAATGTTTAAACAGTTGCCTTCATGATGTCATCAGGATACCTTCTACAATATGTGCAACTAGGAATATTTTAGCGGAAACAGACCTCGCCCCTGGGCACATTTACCTGTGCTCATTTTCCCTTCTTCTTTTCCAGTCTCCAATAAAATAAGTAGCTGCCTATTCTTCCTGGGAGTATCTCCAGGTTATGTTCATCTTATCTGAGAAATACAAGAAAGATTTATACAAATACATGGATTTCCATTGATAGGGAACTTGTGGCTTTAAGAGATGTTCAAAGCTATTTCACTACCCAATATCTAGATGGGCTAGTAGGATTTTGATAAGAGAATTTTACTCCTTCTCAGCATTTTTTTCCACACTTGAAGTATTCTCTGCCTCTGTTTTGCAAACACAACAAATTGCATGTCACCTTCTCGTATTAATATTTGGTAGTACAAGACTCTCGCAGTGATAAGTAAGGGGTTAAGGACTGTGTCTCCAGTGCTCACAGGACTTCTGCACAGACAAGTGTGCCAGGCCTCACTGCAAGCTCAGCAGCTCCCAGGGGCTCCTTTTCCAACCCTGCTTTTGGCTTTTATCTTTTCTCGGCATTCAGTCAGACTTGATGGTATCAGAGGTCTGGAAAGGGTGGGCTGATTAATGCTTGTGAACCTTAGAGCGACCACCAAGATAATTTATTAAAGAATAGGGAACTAAAGTGAACTCTGGGTATCAGAACAGAGCAACTGCAACCTAAGAGATGATCAGTTCTTCCCTTCAAGCAATTGAAGATTGTCAGGTAGGCCAAGCCACAGAGGCCCCCACCAATTAGCATTTCTATGGCATGTGTATATCAAATACTAGAAGATGCAAAATCTCTCACTGTCCTTCTAGAAGGGTGTGTATCCATCCTCACTCATACCACTGCATATTAGAATAGACAGCAGTCCTATGATTTACCTAAGTATTTGGATTCAGCTAAGAAGAGTACTGGCTTTGTTGGCAAAAGATCACTTTATGAATTGAGCCAGAATCATTGAATATTGACAGACTTGGAAACTTAGTGTGCAAACAGATTTTTCTTTTCTTTTTTCTTCCTTTTTTTCAATCCCTCTTTCTCCTTACTTTCCTTTTTAGTTCCTTGTTTCCATTCTTCCCTCTTTCCCCTACCTTCCTTTTTCATTCATTGTTTCCCTCAACTTCCTGATAAAGAAAAATACATGATTGTTTCCATTCTCGATAGCGAAGATGTAACTCAAAGCCTTGAGCTTATGGCTAGGACTGGCTCTGGCATAGTTTGTGATCTAGAAGCACAACCCACCAGAAGCCTGTCAAGTGGCACATAAAAGAGAGTGTTAGCATCTCTAAGTCTCTCCTTAGTGTCAAAGCACATGGCTTGGATGGAGGCAGCATGCTGGGTTTGGAGTTCATGTAAAGCCTGCCTTACCTTATTTCCTCCTTGTTATAAGCAAAGACATAAGGACACTGTTTAACTTGAAAGATTCAAACACTAATCTTGGAAAAGCCAGTGAATAAGTTCTGGCTAAGGTTAAGGCAGAGTGTGAATTCTTCTTCACCTTTGTTGGTGCTAAAGAGAACTGACCTTTCAAATTGAGTGTGCTGGAGATCCAGTGTGGGGAAAAAAAGCTAAATGGGAACAATTAAGCTGAAGTAGTTCTAAGATCTTTTCTGTATATAAAATCACTGTGTTATCTAGAGTAGGAACTTATGCCTTCAATTTATTCTCCATTTGATAACCCAATTGCCAGATGAGAAATTCTCTGTGTCCTCCAGTCCAATAAGAATCAGCACTCCTAAGAGTTTAGGAGTGAAAATTGTATGGCTTTTTATCCCTCCAATCCTCTCTTCAGACTGTCCTTCCTCCTTCCAATTCTTTCCTTCTCAGCAAAAGAATACTTACAAATTAGTGGTACCCACACTGGACAATTCATGACAGCGGCCTCTGCTTCCCTTTTGTGCTGGTTTTAAAGACCAGCAAGTATTCAAGGACAGGCCTTACTGAATGCACGGACAGCCTGAACCACCACTCCTGCCTCATCTCTGTGGTTCCAGCTTTACATCATGTCTCCTTTCAGTCACAAAACACTCAGATGTAGATCACTGCTTACATCTTTATATTTTCAGAGTAGCTTTTCAGAGTTAGTAATGTCCATTTAAATCAAACACAGTATCTTATGTCAGGTGCCCTTGAAGGAGAATTTGCATTAATCTGATTTAGAACAAAACATGGTAGGCATATTTGGAATGAATTATACCTGTGTTATCTCGCTCTATGTAAGGATCTTTGCAGAAAGAACACAGACTGCAGACATGTCACTTCGATGCAAAGGCCATGATGACATTTCCACCCTTTTTGTATCAAAAATGAACAACTGCAGAGGGCATTAGCTACAAAGGGGAGAGACTAGAAATTAAGGCCAGAGAAGACCTTTGCCGTTAGGTCAGCAGAAAAGGTAGGAGCACAGTGAGTGGTGCTGAGAGCTGAAGTTGGTAAGGTCTTGTCACAGAGGGAAGCTGGCAGCACAGGGTCCACAGGGAGGTCCAGGGAGTGTGGCTGGGCAGCAAGTACATCCCCAGTTGGCTCCAGAGAGATGAGCTTATGGGGCAGCTTCATATCCCTGGATGCATAAAATGAAGTCAGATATCAAAACTGCAGTTTTGTTCAGCCCAGGGGAGCTAATTCACCAGTGCTTCTCAAATGCATAGCATAGATAAATGCAGGTCAAACTCGCACCTTTCAAGCCCAGCATGAACAACTATATCTAGACCACTGTAGAATGAGTCAGCCATGTACTAAAGACCTACATATGTCAGCAACTGTGGAGACACTCTGCTGACCAACTCAGAAAGCTGTTCCACAAAGAAGCCTAACTTGGCACCTCAGGATCCAATAGTATAGCCATATCTTCTGCCAAATCAGTGGCTGTTTTGACTCTGTTTCCATCTGTGGTCTACTCTGACCATTATTCACACCCTTCTTCAGATGCTAGTTCACTACCAGCTGCCCCTGAAGACTGAAGGGGGTTACTGTAAGCATGGGGCTGTTGTCAGAGCAGCAAGCGGCAGAGGCAGGAGGCCTAGTTACTCTTGAGCCATGAGTGCTGGCTCATTTTGAAAACACCACCTGAGTGCAAAGGGAGTGTCTCTGACTGCTTCCACCTTAACAGTGGCTTGTTTTTAATTTCTTTTAGAAGTGAAAACTACAGCCCTGACCCCTTGGAAAGGTTGGTATATTTATATTTCAGGTAGCTGCAGCCTTGGTGGGGACAGAGTCTGTAAAACTCTTCACTACCTTCCAAGATGCCTTCTTTTCTGAGCTTACCCCAGGAAGCAAGGACCCCTTCCCTGACCTTGATCAGTCTGTGCTGATTCAGATTAACCCCTCCCCAAGGACATCCTACGCTCCCTGCGTAGCTCCCACTTGCATGAGTCTAACTTGCCTTTCCTGGCAGCACTAATGAGCACCTGTCAGTGCCTAGAATAGCTCCAACTCTGGGCAACCCCACGCCATGCCTGGTCCCTCTTTGCTCATGGTCTCTCTCATGCAATGATCTTCTCAGACCTTGGCTTTGCACACTGCTCTTTGCTTCCCCCTCTTTCTTCCTGTCTCTAACTTGGAGCTAGAAGGGAAGTGGGGAGAGGGAGGCCAAATGGGAGGAAGGGGGAGGTTCTGGGGTGAGTCACTTGGCTAGGAATAAAATATGTCTTATTTGAGGCTTTCATTCCTGCCAGATGTTTCCTATGGATAATTGACACTCATCACAGTTCTCTGGGACCCTAACTGTCCTGGTAATTAGTCTCTTTAGGCCTCCGCAGCTCTCTAATGAGATAGAGGCAATAAAGGCATCCAGTGTGGAGTGGAGGCGTGTCTGGATGAAGAACAGAGGCCTCATCTGTGTGGCTGTATCACCAAGCAGATGGGCCGAGCTGTCAGTCTGCCCAGCACTGGCTCTGAGAGGGCTGTGCTTAGGACACTGTGACCCATGCCTGCCTGGACAGAGATCCTCATCTCTATAGCTACCCATACGGCATTCATCCAGGGTGGAGCAGGACTGGGCCCCACTTTCTCTTTTCTTCAACCTCAGATGCTCAGATGAAGCAATCAGCTCTAAGTCAGGGGAAGAAAACTGCATTTAGAGGCAAACTCATGAGATGCAGGGAAAGCCACCTACTGGAAAGAAGATAACCCTCCTCTCCTACATAGTGCATCACATATTGTGATCGACACCTCTCCAGCTACAAGCACTCTGCCAGATTCCCCAATCCAGTGGCTTTGCCTCTCTGTAGACCCTCATTGGGCACCAGGATTGTTCGGTGACTTTTACTGCCTTAGATTAGGAAAAAGGAGCAGAGGTGTCTGGAAGAGGGAATGGAGGTGAAACAGGGCAGGACATTTTTTGTTTTGTTTCTCTCCGGGTTTCTGTTCTCAAAGTAAAATGTTAAAAGAAAGAAAACAGAAAGACAAAGTAAATATGGACAGGTCAGCAGGAGTCAATGTACCCTCCACTTGGGTCAACAAACTATTGGCTACCTGCCATGCTTTCTTTAAGAAGCTAAGAGCACCACTCAGACAATGCATACTAGACAGGGAAAATTAAAATGTAAGAGTGCAACTATTTTAACAGTAGGGTGCACATGGTACTGAGAAGGCAAATCTAAGCCACTCAAAGAAGGCTGCCTGGAGGAGATGACTGAGGCAGGGGCAGAAGCTGGAAAAAGAACAGGAGCAATGAGAGGAAAAGCACTTCAGAGAGGCAGAGTGTCTGGTTTCCTGGCCGTGCCACAGGACAGACAGGATCATGGGGAGGCTGGTTGTGAGGAGTAGAAGGAGTGCAAGGGTGGGGTGAGGCTGGATGTGGTCACAGACAGGACATGGCAGCCGCTCTTGGTCCTAGATAGGAGCATCAGGGAGACACCTGGAGCTTTTCCAGGGCAATACTACAAGTGAGAGGATGGGTTGGTAGGCACCTGGTGGCCTTTTCTTGCTCTCCATAGGAAGTTTTCTGGAACTGAGGGTTAGGGCCACAGTGTTTCTGTGGTGTCTCCTAGCAGGAGCAGAGTCATGAAGGAACTCTGAGGCATGCAACAGAACAAGGGAGCCAGACAGAGAGCCTGGCAGAGCTGCGGGTCCCTATGACAGGCCAGCTCAAAGTCTTCTCCAACTACAGAGTCCCTGGACCTGAAACTAGGTGTTTCACCCTTGCTCACATGGTAACAGAGCCAGGCTCCTGCTGGGTGTACACTAGGCTCATGCCTCTGTTCCTTCCCTGTCAACTGGAAGAAAGAGGAAATAGTAGAGAGAAAGTCTAAATGCTCTCACTGTTTGGATTTGACTTCCATCTCTTCTAGCACTAGGCATCTTCTTGGCTATGGCAGGGAGGTGGAAGAGTGTGCTGAGAGAAAATAGGGAGTGGGCTTCCAGGCTGTGTTTGTGGGTGTTCAGAAGAGCAAATGAGATGAAAGGAAAAGAAGCCATGTGCTGACTGCTCTTTGTCCTGCCAGGACATTTGTATGCATGTTAGGCAACATGCAGGTGTGAAGTGGAAAGTGACCCTTGACTGTCCAGGGGAGACGGAGAGCCAGATCACACAAAGTAATTCTGGGTCAGGTGTACCTTGAAATCATCTTTGTGTCTTTGAGTCCTCAGCCTCAGGCACAGGCAAGGGCTTTGGCAGGAGGGATCTGTCAGTGGTTCACAAGTCAAAGACATCCTCCATGGCACGGTGTCAGGGAAATGCTTCTCTCCTGTGACTGCAAGGAAGGGCCAGTGTGGATGACAGTGTACAGATATGAAGAGGGAGTTCCTGCTGGTGGTTATAGAAATAATAGTCAGCTTCTAGAAGACATGACAAATTAGTGATCAATCCTAAGTAACAACTGAAATGTAAGACCTAAGGACTTACACAGCTGTGCTCCACTGTTACCTCTGTGCCCTAGGATACATTCACTGCTGTGTTGCCCAGCAGGTCGCCTCCATGCAGGAAAAGAACAGAAGGAGCTTCCCCGGGTTACTCAGCACAGGTACAAGTACTTGTACCTCCAAGAAATTCTGGCCTTAGAAGTGCTGTGCCCCACACTCCAGGGAAATAGGAGTTTCTGTGCCCTGTTGTATGTCACTGCTCCAAATAAAAATATTCATCTCAAAGCGCTAAGAAAGAAAATCATGTCAGTACTTTCCTTAGTCAGATATTTTAGGTCTATGAAAATCCCATATGGAATCAAGAAGCCAGATTTGACTCCCGTGCAATTTAACCAGAAGTGGCTCCAGCATTAAGCAACATATGGAGGCAGGATCTGTCCGTATTCCCCACCCTTTGAGGATCTGGGTCCAGTGTGGCCGCCAGCTTTAAAGCCCTGCCTGTCAGACTCAAGGCCAGGGAAGATGCCAGAGTGGGTCAACTGAGAAGGTGTCCTGGTTCACAGGTACCTGGTTCATCTGGGCATCCATCCCAGATCCTGTTCAGGAATCACAGCTCAATTTGTTTGTTACTCAGGTCCTTGGCCACAAGAGCCAGCAGAGCCAAAAAGCTTGTGCTTCAGAGCAATAGGAAAGCTTCTAGGGAACTTTTGTTCTTCTGGCTCTTGTGCTTGGGTTCATCTAAAAAGCCCCATGTTTGCAGGCCAAATGGACAATTACCTTGTAGGGAAGGAAATGTACTCCCTCTGCAGACACACCCTGAGGCAGCTTCTGTACCCCGAAGTCCACATAATCCCTAGTTAACATCCACATGGACACAGCAAAAGAGCTCCTGTATCTACACTCGGCCCCTTCACTCCATGTGGGCTAGGTGGGGTCTTCAGGCAGTGAAGCAGGAACTGTATCTGCCGTTACCTTGCCCAGATGGGGAAGAGGCTAGGCAGTCCAGATGGAGCCCATGCCAGCCCTGAGTGGGAGTGATTGACAGAGTGGACGCTGTGCCCAGCGCAGCATTGGCAGCAGGCAGACAGATTGTTGTGTCCAACAGGTCCTTCTCTGAACAACAGGCTGAGCAGCTGGAGGATTGTGTGGATGTTTAAGGCAGTCAGAGCTCAGAGGAGTTGTGTGATGATGAGAACACTGCAGAGGTCTCACTTTATTGGATCTCTGTGTAGGACATGTACTCATCTGCCACTACTTTCTTGAACTTAACCCTGAGCAACGGCCTTAGCATGTTACACTGCAGCCAAGGAGCAGTGTTCACCAGGACACTCTTGACCCTGAGCATCCTGCTCTCTCCCTGCCAGAGAAGATTTGCCGTGGCACAGAGAACAATCACTGGAGGTTACAATTCCAGAAAGCTCATTTCTAATTCAAGAGCTGAACAGAGTGCTCTGACTCACCAGAAGAGTGGTCTGGGGGCACCGGAGCGGGCCACACCTGGGGTTCTCTTCCATGTCTCACCAGATGGCTCACGATGAGTATTTCTCTCCACAGGCCCGGGTGCTGTCAGTGAAGTGAGCAACGGGGCATCCAGGAGGGCAGGCTGCGTTTGGCTCCTCCCTCTTCTGGTCTTACACCTGCTCCTCAAATTTTGATGTGAGTGCTACTTCCCCCTGGGGAGAGCTGCCGCCACCGCATCTACTGACACCACAGCACGGCAACACAACAGCGGAACCGGAGAATCACAGCCTAAGGGGACAGAAATTCGAGGGAGGGGAACAAAGAATACTTTGGGAAAGAAAAAAAGTTTAAAAAAGGAAATTGAAAAATTGCCTTGCAGATATTTAGGTATCACTGAGTTTTCTTTCTTTTCCCAAACGGGAAGAACGCACACCTGGCTTGGACCCACCCGCAAGCTGCACCGTATGACCTCTGTCGCCAGGGTGGGCAAGGGCTCAGCCACTCTGCCCGCTGAAGTGCCCCACCATGGAACATTCTGGAGTTGGCCATCCCAAAGCCCATCAGTCCACAGAGACAAATACAGAGTGGGACAGTGGCCCAGAAGGGCCAGGGCGGGCCCTTGGGCAGACGGTGCCACCATTGCGTGTGTCCTGAAATGTGAATTTGAAACAGAAAGTGAAAGGAAACCAGACAGCCCAACAGCAACAATCCCACAAACAAGTCACAAAAGATATCATTAAACATTTTTTTTTCATTATACTACACGGACATCACGGATAATAAGGGATTCTGATTCATTATTAATTTTATTAATTATATTTTCTGATATGAGTCTAGAACTTAGTGCAAAAATGAGACAAAACTAAAAACTACACACAGGAGAGGGGCGAAGTGTGCTTGTTAAACATTAAAAATGCATAGTGTACTTAACTAGGTTTACAACTGGTGGCCCACAACACACCAGGCAGTAATTGCCTGGTGAGGATTTGGCATTTCCACCAAAACCACATCCAGTTGCACCAACATCTCCACCAGTGTTACAGATTGCTCCTCTTTCTGGCATTTCATGCAGACAATACTATGCTATCTCCATACTGTTTAGAAGTGGAAAGTTGGTCTGCACTGTATCTGAGTTTGTTAGCTATGCTTCTTTTGAGACGTATATTATACAGTATATATATACATATATTTTTTTTTGGTTACAGTTCTAGCCATTTCGTTTCTCAGCAGGGTCCTTCCTCAGACATTACTGCATGCTGTATATGGCGTTAGCTGTGTGTTGACCTTCTAAAAGATGATAGAGTTTACTGGTAATTGTGTAATCAGCTCCTGCCTCTTTATTTTCTTGGGTTATTTACATGTCAGAGACATTTATAAAAAGTGAAAAGAAAAACAAGGACAACAACAACCAATAACAGGAGCAGCATCTTCCCAGGTGTGGCTCTCTGTGGCCAAGGCCCTCTACTGGTGGCCTGGCTGGCTGCTCCATGATGCCTCGGGGTATTGACAGACAGCAAGCCTCTGAAACAACTAAACCCTTAGTAACACTTGCTTTAGCCCATTAAGGGAATCCTGGATGCCTTTGTGACCACTGGAGAATTTAATCCTCTTGGTTTATTTTATTTAATTTCCCACCTTTGTGTGAGTGTGTATGAAAGAGAAGAAAAATGCCATTTTTAGGTAACTTTTTTTTCCTCCCCTCAAGTCTGGGAGCCAGAGCGGCCTCGGGGAGGGGTCCTGTGATGAGGGAAAGTGGGATTGGGGGAAGGGGAGGGGGGGTTGTCTCTGACTTGACATTAAAAAGTGTTCCATGTCCCTCTTCACCTGGTGTGCTGCCTCATTCTACAGTGGGTGTGCAGGCCCTCAGCACTGCCTGCCTGGGCTTGAAGAAAAGGGAGGTGAAGGAGATCGTGGATCCCTTCTGGCGTGGCTGAGGATGTTCCTGGTTCATGCTGTGGTGACCAATAGAAAGGACATGAGGCAACCTCTGTCCTCCTCACAGGAAGAAGGGGGGTGTGTGGTACTAGCAGGGACTATGCTTCAGTCGCTGTAGAAGTTCCTGGCCGGAACTCCTGCTTGCCTTCCATCACCTCATCTGCTCATGGGACAAATGTCAAGTTGAGTAGTGGCTTTTGGGTTTGAGTAATTCTTGGAGTCAACATACCAAGCACACACACACACACACACACACACACACACACACACACACACACACACAGTAGCTGAAAACTCTATGGTGGTTGCTGTTCAGTAATCCCAAATCCCATCACCCAGTGTCTGGAGACTTTTCCCTCCTTGACCTTTCTCTGCTTTCCAACCTCACTTCCAGTCATAGATGAAGAAGGAAGGTATATTTTAATAAAAAATATTAATCGAGTGATTTTATCCTTTCCTGAGTGATCTTGGAAATTTAGTAAGTAGCAGAACTATCACTGGAAGACAGAGATGAGGTCAGAGCCAGAGCCCGCAGGATTTAGTGTAAGTGCATCTCCAGGATTCAGTTTGCCTGGGAGGAGCCAGTACATTTGGAAAGAAGCAGGTCATGTCCAGCTGCCAATAGAGAAACTGAGATGACACTGTTGACTCCACCTTTCTTCAGACCCTCTTGTCGTCCTACCTCAGGTCCTAGATACCCAAATTGTCCCTGGTAGCAATGCTGGGGAGGTCTGGCCAATTGTTCTAGATGTGCTGGTGTGCCCCTCCCTATCTTCCCCAACTCTCAACCATGAGAAGCTTCATTTTCCTTAGAGTAAAAGGGAGTAGGTGAGAGTCATACTTCTGCAGACACTCACTGAGGGTTTGGGTGCAGATCATGGCACACAGGAGTAGTTTCCATGGTCCTGAAGTGCAGCTCAGAAAGTGCATGAAGAAAGTGTGAATGAAGAATGCCAGGGCACCCAATAAGAGGCATGGCCTGGGCTTCCCTGGGACAAGAGAACACAAACACACAATCTCCATTTGAACAGTAGCTTCTCTTCCCAATACATTACTACCAGGTCCCTATTAGTGGTAGATATCTACTAACTAATATTTACTGAACTGCTACTAATAGATATCAGTAATATTTGTGTTACTAACCCTGCTTAAGAGTACCCTGTTATCACCCTTCCAGGACTGAATGGTTGGTCAGAGTCAACTCTGTAAAATGCATTTAGGAGTGAGAGATAATTTTTCAACCCAACAGTCCTCTGGCCTTGTGATTTTGTGGTCTGGCCTTGTGATTTTGTGGTGATCTGGTTATGCAAGAGTATATTCTCTGTAAGTCTAGCTTCACAGTGCTCCAGAGAGGATCCTATCTCAAGATCAGTTTCCCTGATCTTCTGCTAGGGTGCTCCATAATCCCCAAACTACACAAGGATCATATCTACATTCTCCTAACTTTGTCTCCATTCAAATTTAGAATTTCATATAAATGAATGTATATAATATATAACTACATGGTGATGAACCAGTCTCCGTTGAACAAACTGAAAACCATATACACTTAATTTTTTTCTTTTTGCAACACTAGGGGTTGAATCCAGGGCCTTGCAAATGCTAGGCAAGTGCTCTACCACTGAGCTACATCCACTACATCCACAAGTTTTTTTTTTTTTTTTTTTTTTTTTTTTTGGTACAAGGGATTGATCTCAGGTCCTTGTGCTTGCCAGACAGGCGGCAGAATCACTGAGCTAAATCCCAATCTACAGAGACAATTTTAGACTTACCTTTTCTGTAAACCAAAGCGTGGCAAGAAAGCATTCAATACAAAGAGGAAAAAATATCACCTGGTGACTTTTTCTTTGATTAGGTACAAATGAAAGACAATTGCCATGGTCTCTGGTGGATTTCACGTGTACTGGATCCCATGACTATGAAATGAGTCACTGACACGCTTGAGGGTCACCACTGTCTCTAGCATTAGAATGGCCCTTAAAGAAACCATCACCCAAGTGTAGTAGGCTGCTTCCATTGTATCCGTTCATGTATGTAGAAGAGGTTGTTTGGGATGCACTGTTCCTAGCCAAGGTCAACAAATATCATTTTAGAATCGTATTCATGTACTTTCACAGGATATCTGTTCCTTTCCAGCCATACAGATGTGCAGTACTTCTCCAGCTCCTGTAGGTCAATCTTTCCTTCTCAATATTCCACACATTAGTTCTGGATGTCTACTTTGAGGCACTGAGTACTTGGGCCCCTATCACGAGCAGGATGTGTAATCATGGAGCTGTGTTCATGGTTGATGAACAACTCTGCTGTGGATGGTGATGATGATAGTGATGATGAGTGAAAGTCATCCTTCAAAATGGAGATAAGTTAACAAATGAATCAATACTAATGTCTGCTTGATGTTGAGCCCATTTCATTGTAATGACCCCATCTTTATCCTATGCCTCCTGACCCATGAGTACAGAAGGGAAGACAGTAGAACTAATTAATCTCAGGAATCTACTGTGTGGATTTGTTTGATTAAAAATGTAAAATCTGGATTTTGCAGAAGGCCAGTAATTTTGTATTATTATAATGGTAAAAGAAATTTGAGGTTATTATCACAGAAGGAGAAAAATATACGCAAAAGGAAAGATGTAGAAAACTATAGGTCACTGCTCTTACAGAACCAAAGTGCCATTGTGGGTCTGCTGGCCACTTGTACATAAGCATGCCAGTCTTTTCCCTGAGGAACAACTTAAAATTATTGAGGTTAGTGTTTTCTAACGATAGGCACCATTTTCAGCATATTTTTTAAAAATCCAGATTTAATTTGCTCAGACCTTGCTCCCTGGGACTTGATTGTGCAGTAGTTTCCTTTGTTATCATATAAGAACTCAATCAAGCCAATCTAAAGCAACATTTCTTACCTCTCTGTGTTCTTAATTCAAACACTATTTCCACGAGCACCCAACTCTATCCGCCTCCAAGGCAATAAATGCAAATTAATATCTCCATGATTTGTGAGTGATAGCTCTCAGTCCCTCAGCATCTCTGTTTCTCACAACTCCATGGATCGCCCCTATCCTATCCATGGCTAAGAACAACACAACTGTTTGTAAAAAAAGAAAAAAATCCCTAAATCCTGAGCTCAAGTTAAGATCAGTCTTTGCAATTTATGTCTTAAGCATTTTGCTGCATTATCCTTCATGAAGGTGACCTGGTTTGGCTTTAGTTTCTGAATGCTGATTTTTATTTCCATGTAAGTCTCAAAATACTTGAATAACTTCTTCTGGAATATGATGAATGAAGATGAGTTTATCCCCGTATTTGGGCTTGTTAATATTTTTAAATGAATTGTATCCAGACATGCATCTATTTAACTAAATTTTACTAATTTACAAGGCACTTGCCTTGTTTCCAGGGGTTCTGACTTTGGGTTCTCTGAGCATCAGTGTTATATTTAGGATACAGAACTGAGTTGCTAATCCATAGAGGTAGGCTCTAATCCAGTCTATCACTCGCTAGTCCAATTCCCTTTCCTACCTCTTAAGATATTTTGATGAAAGATTGCTAATGTTGTATCTAGCTTTAAAATTCAATAATCATGTGATTCCGGGATTTATAAATTACTACAAGAAAACATTGAGAAAACAGCCTTTGGGATCCATGAAAACTGAAGATATATATCTGCAAAACTCTACAACAAATGCATTGTTTCAATTTCCAGGCTGGCTCCTTAGAGGGGAAAACG